AGTCATGTGATGATACTACCAAACTGTAGCATATGCGTCTTGCTCATCTTAGTGAACGTGGTATGGTTGAATTACATAAAAGAAATCTGTTGCATGGTGTTAAAAGTTGTAAGCTCGATCTTTGCAAGTATTGTGTTCTTGGTAAACAGACTAAAGTTTGTTTCAAGACTGGGAAGCACACAACTGAAGGGATTCTTGATTATGTGCATTCTGATGTTTGGCGGTCTTCCACGACATCGTCTTTGGGTGGATCTAGGTATCATGTTACTTTTATTGATGATTTTTCACGGAAAGTTTGGGTGTATTTTTTGAAATAGAAGTCTGATGTTTTTGAGAAGTTCAAGTTGTGGAAAGCTGAGGTAGAAAACCAAACAGGATAAAAAAATCAAGTGTTTTCGGTCTGACAATGATACAGAGTACACATATTCACAGTTTCTAAACTTCTGTAAGGAGCATGGGATTAAGAGACATTTTACTGTGCGCAAGACACCACAACATAATGGTGTTACAGAATGGATGAATAGATCGTTGAATGAAAGAGCCAGATATTTGCGGTTGAATGTGGGGCTTCCCAAACACTTCTGGGTTGAGGCTGTTAAAATGGAATGTTACCTTATCAATAGATCGCCAATGGTATCATTGGCTGGGAAAGTTGCAGAAGAGGTATGGAATGGTCATGATGTTACTTTTGATCACTTACGGAATTTTGGTTGTCCTGCTTATGTGCATATATCTGCTGATGAGAGATCCAAAACTTGATACAAAATCGAAGGAGTGCATTTTTCTGGGTTACAAGAAAGGTGTCAAAGGATTCAAGTTCTGGGATCCAGCTGCGAAGAAAGTTGTGATCAGTAGAGATGTTGTTTTTTATTAACATTCCATGTTGCAACAGAAGAAGACACGACGGTGGTGGATTTCGAGCAGTTTCCATTTGAGAAAACAAAAACTTCTTAACCGACTTCTGGTGTTTCCGCTACGGATGATTTGCAGGATTATAGTCTCGCCAGAGACAGTATGAGACGGACGAATATAAAGCCTCCGAACAGATTGGATTTTGAAGACTTTGTCTCTTTTTCACTTACTGTTAGCAGTAATGATCCAGTTACTTTTCATGATGCTGTTACTAGTCAGGAAAACGACAAGTGGATGACTGCCATAGTTGAGGAGATGGAGTCTTTGAATCACAATCGTACATGGGAGTTAGTTCACCTTCCTGAGGGTAAGAAGCCTATTGGTTGCAAATGGGTGTATAAGAAGAAACCAACAGTAACAGAAAAAAGAGGGGGAGAAGTTCAAGGCTCGTTTGGTAGCAAAGGGTTTTTCACAGCAGAAATGAGCATATCTACATGCATCAGCCTGAAGGTTTCACTCAACCTGGAAATGAGCATTTAGTTTGCAGATTGAAGAAATCTTTGTACGGGTTGAAACATTCTCCGAGACAATGGTACAAATGGTTTGACTCCTATATGATCAAGATTGGCTACAATAGATGTGAGTATGATTGTTATGTCTATGTTAAGAGCCTTGATGATGAGTTTTTTATTTTTCTGTTATTGTATGTTGATGATATGTTAATTGCTGCGAAGAACATGGATGATGTTATCGATTTGAAAACTTTATTGAGTCAGGAATTTGATATGAAAAATTTAGGTGCTGCAAATAAAATTCTTGGAATGAAAATTTACAGGGACAAAGACTTAAGGAAACTGTAGCTATCTCAACGGGGTTATGTTGAGAAAATGCTAGAAAGGTTTGCGATGAGCAACGCAAAACTAGTGATCACTCCATTGACGAATCACTTTAAGCTCTCATCAGAACAGTGCCCTAAGACATATAAGAAAGCTGAAGATATAGCAAAGGCTCCGTATTCTAATGTTGTTGGCTGTTTGATGTATGCAATGGTATGTACTCGTCCTGATTTAGCTCATGTTGTTAGTCAAGTTTGAAGTGCATGTCTAAACCTGGTAAGTAACATTGGAAAGCAGTCAAGTGGATCTTTAGGCACTTAAAGGGTACTGTGGGACATGGAATTATTTTTGGTAGTCAGCGGGATAATCCTTTGGTTGTAGGATATATGGATTCAGACTATGCGGGTGACTTTGATAATAGAAGATCTACGACAGGGTATTTCTTTGCTCTTGGTGGAGGGCCTATTTGTTGGAAGTCTACTGTTCAATCTGTTGTGGCATTATCTACATCCAAAGCTGGATGGCAGCGGCTGAAGCTGCAAAAGAAACTTTATGACTTACTGGTTTAGTGAAGGAGTTAGGTGTTCAGCAAGGTGAAGTTCAGTTGCTTTGTGACAATCAAAGTACTATTTATTTTGCTAAAAATCAAGTATATCGTGCTAGAACTAAGCATATTGATGTAAGGTTTCACAAGATCAGAGAGTTGGTTACATCTGGAGAAATTTTGTTTCAGAAGGTACATACTGATGAGAATGCCCCTGATATGTTCACCAAGCCAGTTACGACAGACAAGTTTATGCATTGCTTGGAATTGTTGAATGTTTCAAGTTGTTAAAGAAGTAAGGTAACCCAACCCACTTTAAATGTTTCCTAAGGGGTAGAATATTCGTCAAGGTGGAGATTTGTTAGGTATGACTCATAAATATACCGGTAAACAAAGAAAGTCTCGTAGTGGGGGTTACGATTATGTGGGTTGGGGTTGTGGGGGCACAGCCCCGCGATACGGTACAATGTTATTTTTGTAAATATGTACCAGAGTTTATTATTATAAAAGGAGATGTAACCTAAACATATGAGACAATTGTATTGAATAAAATTCTAGCGCTGCCTAAGGTACCGAGGATGTAAGCACATTACTGAACCTCGTTAAAATTCTTGTGTTCTTTCTGTTTTCTTTACCCGATTATTCAACAGGGTTCAAATCTTAACAATTGTGAATAGAATAAATTAATTTATTCAAAGATCACATTAATTTTTAAAAAAAGTACAATGACTTCAAAAATATTTTTACCAAAAAGATAATTAACAAAATATTTTATGTTCAGACTTTTGTTTTGGAAAAAAAGAGGAGGGGGGGGGGGTCAGGTTGAGCAACTCGCGGAGGATAAAATATATGCTTGGGTAGTTGGGCTTACGGGAAACCTGCAAAATCAAAGCATTTTCATGCATTAAAAACCAAAAATTCAAGCAATAGACACGCTGCCAAGGAAAAAACGAGGCCGTGTCAAAAGCAGTACAGACGACACTTCTCATTAATGAAAACAGTACAGTCTCATGTGTTAGATCATGGGATCACCGGATCAGCGGACCGTTGCTTCTATTCATGCTGATCTAATAAAATTTAAAAAGAATACGGAATAAAAAAAATTCGAAAACAAAATTTTAATAAAAAATATAAAAATTGTTTAAAATATATAGGATGTTAAAATTTTCAAGAGAAATTATCTTCGTCTACTTTTCAATCCATTCTTAATCACTCACCTTTCAAAACATTTTAGGATGTATTTCTATTTAAAGAAATTAAATATTGTGAAAATCACCTGATTAAAAGATTTTGAGATAAACATTTTAAAGATAATAAGTGTAAAAGACTAAACTAACAGGTACAAACAACCTCGTGCTCCACCGTCCAATTGTGTAGTTTTCCTTGGGGCAAAACCTACCAAACCACAACCGGATTACAAGAGAACCGAGCATGTTTTGGACCATCACACTATAGACTACCGTTCTTCCTTCATCAAGGGAAGAAGGAAGAATGATAGTCTATAGTTTGGATGGGGATCCCTCCTTGACCAGAGATGGATAGAGAGAATGATAGGGCAATTGTCTCTTAAAATTTTAAAATATCATATATTTTAATTTTTTTTTATTTTTTATTATCAATATGCTCTTGATATTTTAAAATTTTCTAAGTTTATCTTCTTTTAAAATTTAAATATTTATAAAATATCATTTATTTTAAATATTTTTTCATTTTTTCCTAACCTTAGTCTTGGCTCGAAGAAGTGATCCCATACTCTGGTCTCAGTGTCTAGATTAGAAACATGATCATGCAAACCCCATCACCTGCTCTGTAATCGTGGCCCATTGGTTCTCAGAGTGTTGAAAACAAACTGCGTTCCTTATTTAAGTTATTGAGTGGGAAAATTAGACGATAATAATGATTTATAAAAGATGTATAATCAAAAGAGGAACCCACCCTCAAGAGGATAAGATGTCATGTTTAATCCATTAAGAGAAAAAGAGAGATTTTAGAGTTTGATTCATTCAGCCGAAAATGACAGCCACTAAATCTTACAACAAACAGGTAGAAAACGCCCATAGATTGAGAAAATTGAGATTAGCAGGAATGGCAACAGCCTCCCACATGCAAATTCAACTTCAAAGTCCTTTTCTAGCTTAGCCAAATAACATATCAGAAGCCTTGAAAGCATGATAGGGAGAAGACGCCAAAAAGATAACCTGACAGATCAATTACGCCAACACAGAGAGTAAGTCTTGATCAGAAAACCCTATTCCGTGAAATCTAAAAGTAGTGTGTTGGCCTTCCACAGGCACCAAATACAGAAGGTCACAGTCGAAAACAGAACACAGTCTCAATCAAGGCACTCAAATTACAGTGCCTAGAAGGCTGACATTTTTAACTGGAGAAAGCTCATGGTTTTTACAACACCGTGCAGCAGGCCTGGTGAAGAAATCTTTTGAAATTAGTAAAGTTCGACAGATTTTTGCAGGTCTCGGATTCAGGTGCTGCCAGTGAGCAGAACAAGAAAAATATTAACTTCCAAAGTCCCTTTTTTTCACCTTTTGTTGCTAACTTGCAATGGAACTGAATTCAAAGTCGACATTAACATGAAATTGAGATTAGAAAAGTAAATCAAAATGTCTTAAACTCATATACAAAACAAGGCTACTTAACAGTTAAGACCTAAAGGAAATGTGCTTCACCTCGAATTTTCATCTTCCCTATGCTACAAATTTTGTCATGTTGAAAACTCAAAAACCCCAACAAAAAGAGACCCACAACTAAAATACCAAAGAAAAACCTAAGATCAAATTCAAATTGAAGATATTTATATAACCATGGGAATAACAATTGCACTTTAATTTTCACCACTGTGTTTCACCGAGTCTTTCCCGCATTAAAATCTGTTTCTCATTCCACACCAGAGAAAAACTACCAGGTGGAAAATATTGACAACAGTGACGTTAAATCCTCTCACGAAATATCATCAACTCCACGAAGAAACAGTGAGCAGAGGCACATCCTTCCAAGCTAAAGAGAGAAATCCAGGTTGGGATTCGATCAATGAATACGAGGAGCTGTAATTATAATTCCACAGTAGAATTTTGGCCTGACTTATCGCGTAATGGCTAAGGGCTACAGTCTCGAAACCAGCACTTTCCATTAAAACCTTCCATTGCTCTTTATCTTCCATCCGTTCCCTTCGGTTTACAGCTTCCTCTGGTCCGATAACCCCCGCGATTTTCCGACCAAATAAGAGTCTCTCCACTTGGTTTCTCTCCCGTGAATCACGAGGCAAGTTAGGTTCCAACGATTCGAACATGGCCGAGAAATACTTCAGTGCGTTCTTGAATCGGTTCAAGAACCCGACTCCGTTCAATTTTACTTCGTGCTCACCCAATGTCACGATTTTTGGGTTTAAAGATTTAGCCAAAGCTAGAGCAGTTTCCACAGAGACTGGAGTCTCATCTAACAAATTGTACAGTTGAAGCATGAAATTCACAGCCAATATCTCATCCTCTTCAACCCGGAAACTCGACCCGTTAAGTTCCATAATCGGAGTTAGAATTGGTTCGAACTCAAAATTCAAATCCAGAAGCTTCGCAAAGTCACGTAGACGACTACCAGTGGCATAAAGAGAAGGAGCAGGTGTTGATCCTAAAGCTGGTGCAGGTATACCTGAGATACGGATTCGGGTAGGTTTTCCAGCTGATCGGGTCGCTAAAGCTTGTAACAGAGCAGCCCATTGAACTCCTTGAACAATCCCGAAGTCAACTATGTGAATCTTGCTCGATCGCTCCGTTGCTTCGAGTATCGCTTGGTTTGCCGTTAAATGGGCGAACTTTGAGTAAGGGCACGCGTCGTTTAATGATTTATAAGAGAGAGTGAAGTCCTCCGATGAAGTTTCGAGCATCGTCGATATTTTATCGGCTTGAAGGAAGACTCTGCTATATAGAGCTTCGGCGAAGTGAAAAGCCACTCTTTCAGTTGGATCTCCACAATCTGACACCGATTCCCTGAGTCTAACCAGTGTTTCAACAGCTCGTTCAGGTTCCGACTCAGCGAGCCTGGCACAGTCGAGTAAAGCTTTTAAAAGCGGGGGAGCTAACTCGGTCTCGGGGGAACTAGAAGAGATGCCTGCACCATCGTTGTTGGTTGGGTTCGGGTTCTGGGGACTGCTTGTTTTTGTTTCTTTAACAGTTAGTAGCGGCGGAGGAGATGGGGATGGCGGCCACGCAGGTAGCTTAGTCTGCGGCTGAGCTTGAAGAGAAGTACTAGGGTTTTCCTGCGCCTCTGTTGAGAAAATCACTCGGTTCACATTAGACGGAGGAGAACACGCCAAGCTGAGTCGACTCGGGCAAGCACTAAACGGATAAGCACCGTGGAGACCGAAATCAGCATTGTTCTGCCACGCGTCACATCCAGACGGTAGATTCGAACTATCCGTTGAATGCCCACAGTTTATTAAGCTATCCATCCACTCATCGGAGTCAAACCCACCCGCACCGCCACCAAAATCCGGGAACCGAAACCCACTCGAATGATGATTCTCCATGTTAGGGAAGTGAAACCCTTCCCCGGAATCCCCCTGAAACGGGTCGGCAAAACCCGGTCCCGAAAGCCCGTACCCGATATTAGGGGAGTAGGTAACGCCATGGTGGGTATTGGGCCAAGGATTCAAGGATAAAGGATTTAGACCAAGAAGTTGCTGCTGGTGCTGATGGTTTTCCTGTTGCTGCTGTTGTTGCTCTTGCTCTTGCTTTTGTTTTATAACTTGCTGAGCGATTGCCATTAGATTTCCATTATCAGCACACATATACGCCATCCTACGGCCAAACTTCCCGGAAACTTCTAGTGAACTGCACTCAGTATCGTTACCCATAAAGAAAAAAGAAGAAGAAAAGATCAGCAAAAATTGATCGTTTTAAGCACAAAAAAGAAATAGAAAAGATAAGAGAGTACATACAAAGACGGTAGGACTAAGAGGGACCGAAGAAGCTCTACAAACTTGGATTTTGCTTTTGCTTAGCTAATGAGAGAGAATAATACTTGAGCTTATAAATAATGAGAAAGCTAAAACAGCAGAAGCAGGAGGCGAGGGCCGAGTTACAGGTCTTCCAAATGAAAAGTGGGACCTCCTTTCCTTTTCTTAACGAAAGTCAGATGAAAGTAAAAGGAAAAATGACGTGGAAATGTTGAAAGGATGGAAAATCCAATGCAGCATTAGCACGGTGGACGACTGCGACTCGCCCTTACCACAGTCGGCAACGGCGCTCTCGCCATCTCTCAAATCAGATCCCCAAGTGTTTGTTCTTATGCCACAATAAAATAAAATAAAAATTCCCGATTCAAGGAAATATAGTGTGACTTCGTGATGCTTACTGCTTGGGTTATTGTAGCAATTTCCAATTAAATTGGTACAAATTTTTTACACGTTTTATATTTTTCAAAGGTTTGCTTCCAGTCAATGGAGTTGGTAGGATGTACGCATAATGCACTTCCGACAAATTATCAATATATTTATATAAATTTCATTGGTACGAGATGATGTATATAAATTTTGATATATTTATATATTTTATTTTATGAGATATGTAATAACTTTTATGTATTATTTTTATGCAGTGTTAACAGAAGGTATATCACACAAATCTATTTATCATGTCAAGTAGTAAGTTTTTTTTTTCTAGTATCTTAGTGTTCTACCTCCTTTGAATTTTTTCTGCAAGTCTTGTATACTCTATAACTCATTCGTTTATCGCAATTTTTAAAGGACAAGTGTTGTACCTCTTCTGGATATCCACTGCAAGACATTTTCGTTGATCGAATTTTTTAGACTCAGATCTTACGATCAGCCATGTCTTTTTGATATGGTCTCTGACAAACCCACATAATCTGCTAGAATCAAATCTACTATCAAATGATCATATCAATTCGTTCTGTTAACCTACGAATAATTATAATGAATAAAATAAATGTATCGTGATTAAGTAATTTGGAAACACAACCAGAATATTTGTTTGTGCCTGTTCTAGACATAAGATCTTATCCCTCACGAGTCCTGGGGTTTGTTGTAGTAACTAATAAGAGTCACTTTTTTCAAGAGTCTTTTAACTCGAAGTTAGGAACTCTAGGTGAGTTATCAAGATAGACAAACCTCCTCAACCCTTATCGAATAAAGGATATTTAACATAGTGTCATGGCATTAATTCCTTATTAAACATGAGCTGTAGCAATCCTTTATCGCTTCTGGCTCCCATCACCGTTCTCTCTTGTTAGCTTAGTACTTTACCTTAGGCTATATCACAACATAAGTTACTTTTAGGTTTGATTGTTTACAGTTTGCATCCTACTTCTTATTTCTATTTTGACACCATATTGTTATTATTAATTAAAGATAATTTAATTGAATTATTATCAACCCAATTCATGTGAAGATGATAATCACTCATCATTATATTGCTTGATCAACTTGTACGCTTGCATAATCGTACAATATATTTACTCACAACAATAATAAAATTGAGCATTACAATGATGAAATGAACACGATACTCTTAAAACCTAGAAATGGGTTGTGAGAATAATGAAAATGCTTTATGCTTAAACATCATGAGTTATTGAAAGTTTAATGTGTCCTTGCATAATATTCTAATAGTGTGAACTAGTCATATAGTGACATGTGAGAAAATGTCACATGTGAGAAAATGTCACATGTGAGAAAATGTCCTCAATTGATTGTGTAATGATGCTTGCATAGTTAAATTATCTTAACTGATCTTGTATGAAAAATATTGATACGTATGGTTCATGGACACTATTGTATGTTATATCTAGGTATGGTGATAGGTTGTTGAATTATACATGCATGCTTAATCTAATTGTTTATTGAAACCAGATAATCCCTTTTTATAACTTAATTGTGAGAATCATTATTGATATTTCGTGAGATCGAGTTCCCTTGTACAATTCATGTCTGATTGTTTTGTGATACCAAACAACTATATACATTTTGTTATATTGCGGGGAATTTTTATGATGCTTTGTGAGACCTGGTTTTCCTTATTAAGGTAACTAGATTGCTATGTGGCATCAAGTGTTAAGGTTGTTATATACATATGTTTAACGTATAATTTGAATGCCAAATGATGCTAGGTGAAATCATGAATCGAATAATAACTCTATCATGTAGTTCATAGATTGTTAATATCTAGCATGATACTTTATTGATGATTTAGCATGCTTAGACTTAATTCTCTCTGCTTATATTGCTAACATACTTACATTTGTGAATTTCACGAAGTATACTAGAGTGCAAGTGTATCGCTAAGCTTTGTAAAGTTCAATGTTCGAATATTTTTTATCGAACATGTTAATAGGTGAGTTATAAGTGCTTATTTTAGTTAACATTTTACTTTTAAATTACTTTTTAATCATATTTTTTGTGGCATATTTGTTTATTTTAATTCATTTTATGTACAGAACGTGAGATTCTGGAAATTGCACAAAAAAGACACAATTCTGCAGATTTTTTATTTTCGGAATCAAAGCTGGCTGAAATTCGGATTTGGATTAAACTCAAGTTTAGGATAATATTTTAAACATTATACTTTATCTTTGTATTTTAGTTTAAATAGGTTTTCGTATTTTAATTAAGTTTTAGGATATTTTTAATATTTTATCTTTGTTTTAGGTATTTTAGTTTAAATAGGTTTCGACATTGGTCCGGATATTGTTATGGTTAACGTTTGAAGAAGGATTTGCTTATTGAAGCATATTCAACTTCCCGAGAACACACTTAGCAAAATTGTATGCTAAGAAGAAACTGAGATCAAAATTGGTTGTTATTGAAATGACACAATCTGAGTTGGCAGCGAAGAATTGTTCTTGTAAGCTTACGTGAATCTTGAAGTAAAAATATGTTTCGATGATCTGAGGAATTTGAGGCGAAGCAGAAGTCTGAGGCTGATTTCACAATAATTTTCCATTTATCTCAATCTCTTTAATTTATTTATTTAATTATTTTTCTTTTATTTAATTCTTATTTTTTATTTTAAAAGCAACTTTTAAAAATCCCCATTTTATATTTATTACTATTAATATTTATTATTATATTATTTTTCTTTTTTATTTATTTTATTTTAATGCATCTTTTCAACTTCATCTAGAATTATATCTTCTTCTAAAATCAAGAAAGAATTTTATTAAATTAGAAACACCACAGTCCCTGTGGATCGACCCTGCTTCTCTATATTACCTTTTCATTTATATTTAAGAAGCCGAAATTATTTTGATAGCAATACGACGATGATCAAATTGGCGCCGTTGCTGGGGACTAACGGCAAGTAGTGATTTATTTTTCTAGTTTTTGATTTATGACCAGAAGAATCCCAGGTGAATTAATAGATCTACATCCGGTGATCGAAGCACGAGCACGAAGAATCCACGCACAAACGATTTGATAAAAGAGAAAAAGACAAGAAGAACAAGAGCAGAAATCAGAAACAGAATAAAATCCGGACTCTGAAGCAGACGCATACAACATTCCGATGGCATAAGAAGAACAAACGATCCGAGAACTAGCCACAGCTGTCACTCAGACGCCATTATGCATCAATTTTTCTAGTGGCGGGACTCCATTTCAATTAAAGACGGGACTCGTTCATATTCTTCCCACATCCCGCGACTTTTTCACTGAAGATCCGTATAAACACTTGTTGGAATTCCACATAGTTTGCACTAGCATGAAACCACAAGGAGTTACCGATGATCAAATTAAATTTAGAGCTTTCCATTTCTTTTTAGCCTATTTGGCTAAAGATTGGTTATTTTATTTACCTATAAATTCAGTTAATTCATGGGCTGACATGAATTGAATTTTTCTTGACAGGTTCTTTCCAGCAGCTAAAGCAATTCTTTCCATTCAACAAAAGAGAGAAGAAAGTCTTTATGACTATTGGGAGCGATTTAAAAAGCTTTGTGCATGTTGTCCACAACACGGATTAAGTGAGCAAACGTTACTTCAATACTTTTATGAAGGCCTTTTACCAATGTAGATGAAAATGGTGGATGCCGCCAGTAGAGGAACATTAGTCAACATGACCCCAACAACAGCAAGGGAATTGATTTCAACCATGGTAGCCAACTCTCAATAGTTTTCAACTGAACCCAGCCTACGGGTTCACGAGATAAGTACTTTTTCCCTTGAGAATAAGTTAGACAAATTATCTGAAGTAGTTAATTCATTTGTTGCAGGAAAATCTGGAGTAACAAGAGCATGTGGGATATGCACAAAGCTAGACCATCCGACGGATTACTGTCTGCTGATACAAAAAAGAGGTAATGCAGAAATCAATGCCATAGGGAACTTTCCAGGTCCTCCATAAAGACAATACAACCCGTACAATAATACTTACAATCCAGGATGGCGAGACCACCCAAACTTCAGTTATACGGCAAATCAAATATCAACTTATCAACCAAGGCCTCATCCTCAATAGCAAACGCAAAACTCATCATTGGAGGAATTCATAGGAAAGTTAGCAATTTCACAAGAAAAACTTATTGCATCCCAGGAAAAGTTCCACAGCATAACCGAAACACATCTTCAAGAGTTAGATAACCAAGTAAGTCGACTAGCTCAAACTATGGGAAAATTGGAATCACAAGGAAGACTACCTTCTTAAACGGAGTTAAATCCGAGAGAGAATGTTGGTGCCATCACACTCAGAAGTGAAAAATTTATCTTACCTGAAGTTCCAGCAGAAAAAGACGCACATCAGGAAAAACAAGAGGAAACACCACCTCCAGAAATACAAGGTACGTCTGACCCACATCTTTCTCTTTGTTCTCATGAAATCACGCCACCACCCTTCCCATCAAGGTTGATGAAGCGTGATAAAAGAGATGAAGAAAAGGAGATCCTAGAGGTGTTCCAAAAAGTTCAAGTCAACATACCTCTTCTTGAAGTAATTCGACAAGTACCAAGATATGCTCAATTTTTAAAAGAACTTTGCACTACAAAGAGGAAAATAAT